GTTCTAATGAGAAATCATTTTCATTTAAAATAGCTAGAGTGCCTGCAAGCTAGAATTTAGAATGATAGACACATCTGGAGTGATTTCCCCAGCTTTCTGAATAGGGATTTCAGCCAAGAGAGAAAAGTGTCACTGTCATAATGTAAAACAAGTCCCATTGCCTCCTAATGACTATACTAAATGTTCCTCTTGCCATCCACCTAATTGGCATGCAATAGATATTTCCATGATATTTTATATGCCTCAAAGTCAGGGACTCAAAAATATTCGTTGATTTTTAAAAATTGAGTATAGGAGCCATAACGTGAAAGGTTTCAATGGAAACTATTTTCCTACTGATGTTAAGCAAAGTAGCTCATTTGGCATTATTTAAACTACATAGCTAATTGTTATATTAGTTCCATTCAAATATGTATTTAAAAGTCACTTATTTTTAGCATTTTATAACTTGTTTGAACACCACAACCTAATATATGATTAAGACTCTTAAATACACTTAAGATTTCCCAATTTCCAGTTATGTCCCTCATTAAGCACTATTCGAAAAATTACTTTTAAAAATAGCTCTTTCTGATGCCTCATGAATCATTGAACTCTCTCTTGTAGTCAGTTAATCAAATACCCTCCTGCTTCGGTCAGAGCAGTGACTGGTAATAGTTCTAATAGTGACAGTTCCACCAACCCCCTCCTACATATCTTCTCCACTCTAAACAGTCAACTTGAAAATAAAGCACGTTCTGCACACCACCTTCTCTGGTTAGCAGAGACTATTTTATTCTGATTTTGTAAAAATGTAAGTGAAGCATACAGTAAAGATGAGTTGATACTTGAAAATGAAATGCACAATTTTGTGATGTCAGTTAGATGAAAAATGCTGTTTCATATCAACAAATCGAAACCAAAGCAATTGTCAAACATCTTAACAGTTTAGGGAGCAGAAAGTCAACCGAGAGTATCCAACTGAGAGAAGCGTCCACCCTAACTAAAACAAAGATGAACATTTCTATGTTTGTATTTTGTATGTTTGACTAAGAGAGATTTACTTCTGAAAAATTCAGAAATAAAATGCTCAAAGGAAAAACCCAGTTTACACATAAAACTACAAACGAAGCCCCAACATTGAATAAAATAAGTGAGAAAATAAAATCACCTTAAGTTTCACAAATCAATACCAAAGACCAGTCAGAAAGGAAAGTGAGTAGTACTGATTCTATCAATAGAAAAGAACTTAAAGCATAGGAAGAACCTCAGCGAGAGCCTGATAACACCACCTTCCCCTGCTGAAATTGAGATTTCCAGTAATAAGTTAAAATATTGGTCCTGTGTTTGTATTGGTGTGGTAAGGAGAGTAAAGCATATCCACTGGGCTTCCAACTGGAAACAGATGCCACTTTAAAATTAGGATAGTTCAGGGAGGGATTACTTACAAAGGGACTAATTACAAAGGTATGGATGGAACATATGAGCATTACTAGGAATTATGCTAGAACCAAGGGTAGCAGCAACTGCTTTATCACCAGCCCTTGGTCTGAAGGGATAAAGGTAGAAAATCCCTGCTGGAAACTGCTAAAGCAACACACTTTGTGAGTACCTGTCATCTTATGTGGAGGAACACAGGCAAGACGTGACATCCCAGAGAAGGAGGAACACTGACTTACATTCATTCCTTCATCCAGTCTCTTAATGGGATCCCTCATTGGTTGAGCCCAACTAAAAGTCAGAAGGCATGTGTGCGTGTTTGATGGTATAAGCCACATGTATTAGACTCTGGGGGCAGAGAACAAAGAGGAAAAGATGGAGAATCTAGAGGAAGGAGCAAACAGACCATGTCTAGCACTTCAAGTACAGAGACATAACTTGCAAGAATCATTAGATATATGTGTGAGTGAAAAGCCAGAGGGAGCTAATCTCTTTGTGGGTGATGGAAATGTTTTAAAAATGAATTGTAGTGATGATTACTCAACTCTAAACTCATGTGCACCCTTAAAATGAGTGAATTTTATAATATGCAAATTATACTTCAGGAAAGTTATTTATTTTAAAAAATAAATAACTAAAAAATAAATAATCTTGTAGGGGAATAAGATTATTTAAGAAATACATGTAAAGTGAGAAGGAAAATACAGATTGAAAGGTTATTTTATTTATTTATTTATTTATTTATGAGACAGAGTCCTGCTTGGTCGCCTTGGCTGGAGTGCAGTGGTTTGATCTCAGCTCACTGCAAACCATGCCTCCCTGGTTCAAGCAGTTCTTGTGTCTCAGCCTCCCAAGTAGCTGGGACTACAAGTGTGCATCATCACGCCCAGCTAATTTTTGTATTTTTAGTAGAAATGGGGTTTCACCATGTTAGCCAGGTTGGTCTCGAACTCCAACCTCAAGTGATCCACCTGCCTCGGCCTCCCAAAGTGCTCGGGTTACAGGCGTGAGCCACCACGCCCTGCCTAAAAGGTTAGTTTTAAAGAGGAGAAAAGACTACACAACCACATACAGAAATAAACTCAAAGTGAATTAAAAACTTACACACAGAACCTGAAACTGTAAAAGGACTAGGAAAAAATTACAAGGGAAAAGCACCACAACATTGGTGTGGGCGATTTTTTTTTAAATTTGACCATGAAAGTATAGACAACAAAAGCAAAAACAGAAAAACAGGATTGCATCAAAGTAAAATGTCTCTGCATAGCAAAGGAAACAGAGTGAAGAGACAGTCCATGGATTGGGAGAAGATGTTTGCAAACCATACATCTGATAAGTGATCGATATCCAAAATATATAAGGAATTCAAACAACTCAATAGCAAGAGAACAAATAAACTGATTCTAAAATGGGCAAAGAAACTGAAAAGACACTTCTCAAAAGAAGACATACAAATGGCCAACGGATAGATGAAAAAATGCTCAATATCACTAATTATCAGGCAAATGTAAATTAAAACCATAACGAGATATCATTTTAAACCTATTAGAATGGCTGTTACTAAAGAGTCAAAACATAATGGTGTTGGCAAGGATGCGGAGAAAAGGGGATGCTTATACACTGTTGATGGGAATGTAAGTTAGTTAATCTCCAATGAAAAACAGTATGGAGGTTTCTCAAAATACTAAAAGTAGAATTACCATGTGATCCAGCAATCCCTCTACTGTATATATATATACAGAGGAACTGAAATTACATCAAAGAGGTAAGATAGGGAAACTGCATAGATGCCCATCAATAAACGAACGGATTTTTAAAATGTGATATATATATACACAATAGAATACTAATCAGTCTTTAAAAAAGAAGGAAATTCTGGCATTTACCACAACATGGATGCACCTGGGGGACATTATGCTAAGGGAAATAAGCCAGACACACAAAGACAAATGGCACATAATCCTATTCATATGGAGACTCTAAAAGAATTGAACTCATATAAGCAGAGAGTAGAATGGTGGTTACCACAGGCTGGGCCTGCAGAGTGAAAAATGGCAAGATGTTGGTCAAAGGGTACAAAGTTTCAGTTAGTGAGGAGGATTAAGTTTTAGAACTCGATTGTACAGAATGGTGACTATAGTTAATAGTTTATTGTATATTTCAAAATTGCTGACAGAGTAGGTTTTTTGTCATCATCACAGAAAATTAGAAGTATTTGGGTCTGCAACAGTGACTCATGCCTTTAATCCTAATGCTTTAGGACGACAAGCAATCAATTGAGGATTATTCAATCGTTTGAGGTCAGGAATTTGAGATCCATTTGGGCAGCATAGCTACACCCATTTTATACAAAAAAACCCCAAAATTAAAAATAAGCCAGGCATGGTGGCATACACCTGTAGTCTTAGCTACTCTGGAGGCTAAAGCAGGAGGATTGCTTTAACCCAGGAGTTTGAGGTTGTAGTCAGCTATGATCCCACACCTGCACTCTGACTTAGGAAATAGAGTGAGACTCTGTCTCACCAAAAAAAAAAAATTGTAAGTTTTTGAGGTGATAGGTATGTTAATTAGCTTGATCTAGTAATTCCGCAATGTATACATATAGCAAAAGATTACATTATATCACATAAATATGAATATAGATGTTATTTGTCAATTAAAACTAAATAGAAATAAATAGAAAGCAGCCAATCCACCTCATCTTCTGAGATCGGAGAAATAAGATGTTTTGGGGGTGTGAGTAGGGATACCTTTGTAGGTGTTTTGCTTTGGAAGATGAGAACGTTTTTTTGTTTTCAATGACACTTTTCCTTGCTTTAATATTTGTTGTCTTTTTCTGCTTTTGAAATGACCTCTCAATTACAAAATACCAAACTATACTCAAAAAAGGGTGTAGAAATAGCCAGCCATTGGCACAGCATGGAGAAGCTCACAAATAAGGACAGATAGCAGCAGCAGGTGGCAAGAGGTGGGAGGTGACTGAAGCAGTGGTTACAAATGTTCACAGGAAGCTAAAACTATCCAACAGGTTGTGCCTTAATGTTAGTACAGGTTAGACTAGTTATTACCTTGCAGGGTGCCCTCAGTGTGTTTGGGTTCAGATTCTACACAGCAATACAATTTTTTCCAGTTAAGAGTTCTTGACTTGCACTGATCACAGCATGATTGGAGGTTACTGGACCAGTCTTGTTAGTTTTTCAAAATGCTGTCGTAAACCTGATAGATGTATTGAGAAACTTCAGGAGCTCTACACTTCAGTGACAGCGTATAACTGGGGTTTCCTGGCTGGATACGTGGTTTGGCCAAAATCCAAATGCCATTAGTGAACTTCAGGGATTGGTACACAATGTCCTGACCTTCCACATTCCTCTCGGCAATAGTCTAAACATTATTGTTTTGCAACTTGCTGGAAACAGTGTCAGCATTTAAATATCATTCCTTAATCTGAAATTGAAGTTCATTTTCATTGCGAATATTCTTCCATGTTGCAAGGAAGACTTGGTGCTCCATTTTGCCATCTTCTACAAAAAGCACATTGAGTGGGCTGAGGCAGCTGAAGTAGAATACATCGATATTGTTTTTCATAGCCACCTGTTTAAAAGACTCCCCAGAAGATCACCTTGAGAGGGGATAACCCGAGGCTGTTCCAGGTTTGTTGCAGTAGCGATGCCAACAAGGCTGTCCCCTGCATCAGTGCTCCCATGATGAATTGGCAAGTGTTTACAATGGATTCCATGACTTCCTTCCACAAAAGCATTGGAAGGTTTGTGATACACAGAGGCCAAAGAACCAATGTGGCAGATTAGTTCATCCAATACAGTTGGCTCAATAAATTCCATCTTCAGAGATCCGTGGCTTCTCAGACAAGACTACTTATTTAGCTGTGACAGGGTCAGTTGAGAGAAGATCCCAATAAACATAGCCCTGGTCTTGAAGGTCAGGATTATCAGAACCCTGTGTTGCCAAAGTCAACACCTGCTGGACTAGTTCCTGTATTTCTGGTGGTTTCTTGAGAAACAGCTTCACTATGGCAGTAAGCAGAGTGAGCTGCACCTGGGTGCTTTCATCATGAAAACACTGCAGGAAGCTTTCTAGTAACTCATCTGCATTGTTAATTCTTTCAGCATATTCTCCCACAATCCAAATCATAGCCTCTCGAGCATCTGGCTCATCCAGTGAGTCTAAGTTCTCACATAGAGTGGCAATAATACTTTCACACTTGTTAGAGTATTTGCGGAGGATGTCCCTGATGACAACAATCATTTCTTGGACCACGTAATTCACTTTGGTCTGGATTAGATCAAGCAATGTGCTTACACAGCACGCTGCAGATTGCTCCGTCTTGATGGCACACTGTCCAATGGTCCGCACAGCTTTTTGAACAAAGTCAACATTCACCACTGTGGCATGTTCCTTCAGTTCTGCCAGAACCTCAGTGATGTTGGCTTGTGATGTCAAATGAATCCTGATGTCCAACTTCTCTAGTTTAACATAGATGGGATCATTGTACTTCACAAAGAAGACTTTGATTTCCTGCTTCAAGATTTCAGGCCTTTTCTGGACAATTAAGTTGATGTTCCTCAGGGAGATATACTGCACTTCTGACTCCCCAGACAGCAAAATGACAAGTGGAGGGGCTAACTTCTTCAGCAGCTTATTGTAGTAGTCAGAATCCTTAGGTAACAATTCTAGAAACTTCATTAGGACTTTTACTGCTGAAAGCACCACTGCTGAGTTGGCATGGGATAGCTGGGGAGTTACCCGCTCACAGATGCTCTGAGCTTCCCGATCATCTTTAGGGTTGTAATTAGACAGGCAATCCAGGATGAAATCTGGCCCCTTCAGTGCACTCATTCAGGGCTGTCAGCAGCTTATTAATGTTCGGTGTGTTCAGAACGAGTAAGTTGCTGTTTGGTTGAGACTCACTGATTTCAGATAATGCTGCTACAGCATTAGCCACCACCATTGGATTTGAATCTGCTATAAGACCTCATAGAGAATCCAAAAACCCCTGATCTTCCACCATTTGGGCATTGATATCATGGAGCTTTGCCACGCATACTGCTGCTGTTTTCCGAACACAGGAATCCTCATCCTCCAAGCACTTGAGGAGGGGCTCACAGAGATATTCTGTAATTTTGTCTACCCAGATGCACCCCATGGTTTTGACTGCCCTGGCTTGAATCAAAGGATTAGGATCTTCACAGTCCTTTATGAAACTGTTTACAGCCATGACGGCCATGCCTGGCTGACTCTTGGCATAGTTCATCAAATAGAGATACACAAGCTTCTTTAGTTCCAGATTGCCAGTCTGCATACAGTTCATTATGTCTGGAAAGACAGAACTAGCATCCTTCCCCATGGTCATAACAGCAATCACTTTCTTCGCAGCCTCCTTTCTCTTTTCTTTCTTTTCATCGTTGAATTCAGCTTTTAGTTCAAATATTTCTCCTTTTTTATTGGTTGTGAAATACTTGGAGTCAGTCATGACTTTGGATCTTTAATGTGCACTGGAGGCAGAGGTGAAGGTGAGGGAGGGGTGGTGGCGGCAGCCAGAGAGCACAGCCCCGGTGGTGGTATAATGGTTCACATTTGGTTGCCTAGATTTTATTGATGAGGTAAGAACAGAAGTGCTCCAACAGCAATCTGTGAATATATCTATAATTGCACTGGGCACAGCACATTGAAATAATCTATGTAAATATCTCACTCCCTAAACCAGAGGTTTTTGAAGTGTGATTCAAAGACCCTCGGAGTCCCTAAAACAATTTTAGAAGGTTTACAAGATCCTCCCTGTTCAACAATGTACCTGTGTGAGGCTGAAATGTTTTCATATATGTCAGTCAAATAACATATCACAACAGATTGAATGAAGTAGTTATGACAATCCACTTCTATTTATTAAGATAGATATTAAATAAATTTTCAAACATGTAAAATAATTCTACTCTTCTCGTTATCTTTTTTATAAAAATATCACAATTTTTAAGAAAATATATGTTAATAATGTCAATATATAGTGGGCTTATTATTGGCATTTAAAATACATCAATAAATTAGTATTGTAAAAGTTTCTCAGTTTTAACTTTGAATGTGGCAAATATCAATAGATACAAAGCAGATAAAAGTAATTTTGGGATTCTCAATAATTTTTAAGAGTGTAAAGGACTCTTAAGACAGAAAAGTTTGATCACCACTAATCATAGGATTGCTTAGGGTTGGGCCATCACATTTGTCTTTGTATCTTCAGGGCCTAACACAATGACTGACATATAGTAAGTGCTAAGCACACATTGAATTGAACAGAACTTAAATACCATGAGTAAGGGATAGAGAGCTTGCATTGAGTTCTGAAGATATATATTTGATGAGAAGAATGTGAATGGGAGTTGATCAAGGGTGAGGAAAAGGACTGTCAACAGACTTTGAAGACCCTGATGAAGTTGGAGACCATGAATTTATAGATGTACCAGTCTTCAGGATTGTGAGATTTTATTCAACAGTAACAAGCTGTGTACATGTAGGAATAAGGGATGTCACAAAGAAAAAAGTCAAAGGTTATGTTTTCTTATTAACCTACTTTTTTTCATAGGCTTAGAACAGAGCAGGGAGTAAATACACATATTATCTAAATATACATAATTCTTGCCTAGAGTGTGCCCTTTATTCAATGTTTATTTCTGAAGTCAGTGTGTATTTTTTCATATTTTTATATTGATATATCAAAGGTATATATATTCTTGGAGTTTGTGATATTTGGTACCTGTATAAATGTGTAATGATCACTCAGGGTAATTGGAATATCCATCACCTCAAACATTTATCTTTTCTTTGTGTTGGAACCATTACGATTCTTGTCTTCCAGCTATTTTGAAATATACAATACATTATTGTTAACTATAAGTTTCCGATTGTACTGTTGAGTATCAGAACTTATTCCTTCTGTCTAACTATATTTTTGTACCCATTAACCAACTTCTCTTCGTTTCCTTCTCCCCCTTTCTCTTTCCAGCTTCTGGTAATCATCATTCTACTCTCCATCTCCATGAGGTCCCCTTTTAGAGTTCTTAAGAGTGAGAGCGTGCAATATTTGCCTTTCTAGGCCTGACTTATTTTACTGACCTTAATGGCCTCCAGTTCCATCCATGTTGTTGCTAATGACAGGATTTCCTTCTTTCTAAAGGCTGAATAATATTTCATTGTGTATATAACACAATTTGTTAATCTATTCATCCATTTATGGAAACAGGTTGATCGCATGTTTTGGTGGTTATAAATAATGCTGCAATAAAAATGGGAGTGCAAATATATTTTTAATACACCGATTTTCTTTCTTTAAGATACATACTCAGCAGCAGAATTGTTTGATCATATGGTAGTTCTGTTTATAGTTTTATGAGGTAAAGTGTGTATTTTTTATGAGAATTCCCCAAATGCCTCTTGCCATTGCCCCATCTCTCTCCTTTTTCCCTATAAACAAATGTAAAGGAAGTTAAATGAAAGAGAGAAAAGTTACTATATTGATTCACTAATCTAGGACATATTGTAACCCTTACTGAATGATGGTCATTTCATTTAGGCGACTGAAACTTTTGCACTTTTTCAAGATAATGTTCTGAGTTATCCTCACAATTTAAAATTTATTAATAGTTTTACCAAGTAGAAATGTTTGTTTTAATTTCTAGCTCTCAGTCTTTACTATCTCTGTGGGTAAAACTAATTCAAGCTAAAATTTGGAATATTCTGTTGGATCAGCAAGATTTTTTAAAAATGGAAACAATCGCTTTTATTTTGAAAATTGAATTTTTTTAACGAAGGGGTTAGAGACAAGATTTTTATAGATGGAGACATTGTTTATTATTAATGTATTGAAAAATACAGTCTGAGTGCTGGAGCCTAATCTTAGCTTTTAATTTAGATTTTATTTGTATTAAAATAGCCAATAGATGAGAAAACCATATTAATATAATGAGTTAATTTGATCCAATATAATTTGATAATGTTTCTTACATTTCCTCAACTTTGGGATATTGCACTTGACAAAAGTCCTTTGTTATAATTTTGGTGATATCATTTCACTGGATGAAAATATTTATTTTCTTGTACAATATTTTTTTCAAGAGTTTTAGGATTTTTTAATTAATCATTTCTTTTTAATTATTCATAGTGTCTCTTTTTAATAGTAAAACTAATAAATATTTACTGACCCAGATTGTACGGTGTGATTTGGCACACATTAACATCTCTGACCTCATCCTCTACTACTCTAATCCTCACTCAATTTGTTATAGCCACATAGGCCTTCCAACTATCCATTGACCATGTTAGGTACACATCCAACTCAAACATCTTTTAATTGCCTGGCTGGAATGCTGTTGCCCAAGAAATCTTCATGGCTTTTCCACACATCTTCTCATGTATTTTTGAATTACTGCCTTCCCAAATAAGTCTTTTCTGTCCAACATTTTAAAAATAGCAACGCCACTCTCCATTCTCCTTCCCACATTTATTTTTTTCCCTTAGCACTTATTATCATATAAAATAATATACATAGTATTCATATGTCTAAGTAAATGTGGGCTTGAAATTACCTATTTCTGTCACAGCTGTATTTCCAACATCTAGAAAATGTTTTTCTATGTTCCAGAAAAACATATTTCCAGTGCTTAAAACATAATAGTTGCTCAAAATATATTAGTTGAATAAATACATGATTATAGAAAATATAGAGGACATGCAGAAGAGCAAAGAGGAAAAAAGAAGACAATCATTATCCCACAACCTGGAAATACTCATTGTTATCATTTTGGTGCATTCTTATAAACATATAAATACACACAAACAAATATACCTATGCCTATAGTAGTAGAGGTGGTGGTGGCAATAAATTTAATGATAAGAGTAATAGTAGTGTTAATATTTGTTGGCAGTGTTATCATAACATAGTATCTCATTTGTTAACCACGTTTTCTCACTTAAAATATTTATCATGACTTTCAATAAAATAGGGGCTTTATGCAGGTCACCAATCATCCATCCAGACATTGACTCCATTAATTATTTATTGTTATATAACAAATGACCTTACAAATTAGTTATTTAAAACAACAGATATTGATTATCTCACAGTTTCTGTGGTTAAGGAAGTTTGGAACAGCTTAGCTGAGTGGTGATGGCTCAATGTCTCCCCAGAAGTTGCAGTCAAGATACTGACCAGGTTGTTTTCATCTAAAGGCTGATGAAGGCTAGAGATTATACTTTCCAAGGTGATTTATTCATACCTTGGCAAGTTAGTGCTGGTCATTGGAATAAGACTTCAGTTCTTGCCTCTCCATGAAGTTGCTTGAGTGTTCTCACATGTCAGCTATTTTCTCCCAAAGTGAATAATTCAAGAGATGGAAAGGAGGAAGCCACAGTACCTTTTATGACCTAGTCTCAGAAGTTATACATTTTCACTTCTACTTAATTCTATTTGTTGGAAGTGGGTCACTAAATGCAGCCCACAATCAAGGAAAGGGAAATTACTTTTCAAAGGAAATTATATCAAAAAATGTGTAAACATCTATTTTAAACCACCACACCAACTACATAAGTTATAAATATAAGAAATGTTGTCAGCAGTGAGACTAAGGATCATTCCGAACTCAATAACAAGCTGGAAGCAATACTTGCCAAACGTAATATAGTTTATATCAAGTTGCAATGAGCTCCTGGGAACTTAAAAACAGCTCTTATTTTCAAAATAGTGGGAACATTTTGTGGAAAGTAAGTGGAAGAAATTCTTGGGGAAATAACACAGACACATTAATATTGTTCTATTATAGAAGAAAGAGTTGGAAGTACAGATTCTTCCCACAAATTCCTTCCTGAAAAACCAAAGCAATAGCACTCCAATGCTACAGAAGTAGTGCTGCCAAAGAAAGTAAAACTATGTATTGCCTTTTTTCGTGTTTTATGACATGCATGTAAAAGGATTATAGACTTGTTCTAAAATGAGGTGGCAATCACTAAAGTAAAATAATGGACTGGGAAAAAAAGGTATGAGAGAAACAATAGAGTTTCATCAGAGACATTTTCATGGTGAAGATAAATGTCAGTGAAAGAAAGGCAAGTTTATGAGGAAAGTACACCTAGCCAAAGAAAACAAAGTGTTTACAAATTAATGTGACTATATCCAACTCAACTTTTTAACAACTTAGGCAGCTCACTTAAAAGGGAAGATTAAAAATTAAAGCCAAGAATTATTCCAGTGGGAAGATATGTACTTAAAAAAATGAAACTGGTTCTAAATGCGAAAATTTTCGTAAGTTTAGAGAGAATGCACAAGATAATGTTCTGATTTCAGATAACTAAAAGATTCAGATCTTGCCAGCTACCTTCCTCTACTCCAGAAAACTGACTGACTAAACAGATAATAGAAGCCATCATCTCTGCCCTCCAGCTTAAGTATTTGATGGTCTCCAGATAAACAGGAAGGAGATCAACTAGAAATCATCAAAATTCTTAGGGAAGCAAAGATGG